TTGTCCAATGTACCTTGACCAAGGATCATTTTCTTGAGTCTATTCTGCAATTGAAAAGCCGTGATCGTCTTCAAATACAGGTCCATTTTCTGACCAAACCGATCGAAACTCAGTTCGTTCTTTTGGAGCTTTGCATAAAGGTCAGCGATGTCTTCRACGTKGTAGATGATYYTCGARTGTTGTATGATGTTGTTCGTGTGAGCAAAAGAGGCCTTGATCTTTAGCAGAACTAGGTCGAGCTTTTGTGACAGAGACCGTATAGAAAAGAAAATGTCAACAGCAGTAGGAACACCGTTCACAACATTAAATGTCTTGCGCAGTTGGGCCATTAACCTCTCTGTGGTATCATCAAATTCAATTCGTTTTTCGCAAGACTCTCCACCATAGTGGCTCACGCAAATGCACTGATGGGTCTTCGTAAAAGGAATCTGCTTGCATTGACCATGACCACTGCATTTCTCACTAGTAGTGCACGGGTTGTAGTTGGTGTTAACATTAGTAGCAAGAAATCCCATTTTCTTGATTTGGTTTTTCAAATCCTTTATACATTCCTTCTCAGTCCAATAGCTATACCGATACCTCGATGATTTGCATTCGGTTTGAAAGTCAACAAGTTTTTGCAAATTTGATGACCCGCACTTTTTGTGCGACAGGATGTTGTCAGCAGCGTAAATATAATCAGAATTGCATCCCCCGCATCCTTTAAAAACCAACAAGGTTTTGGCTTGTCTGATTTCACTGCAGCTGGCCAGTGATTTTGTATCTTCGTAGACTATGTAGTACTCTTTCACGTTTCCGGGATCCGAGCGGTCTTCCACCTTGAAGTACCTACTACCTTTCCACTCAAGACCGGTGATATTTGTACGGTAATCTTTAATCGCTCCTACGCCCCAAGTGTACCAAGGGTATTTGACTTTAAGTTCGTCGAAGATGGCTTTAACGTTGCTTTCCTGGCTAGACCCTTTTGACTTCGTTAAAATCTTTTGGGCATCCTTCTTTGCGTGGTTAACAGACTCTCTTCTGCAGTTCCAGACTCGATCGTCAAAGGCTCGACGTATCTGGAAGAAGTACTTCTGAACGTCGTTGAAACCCTTAGTGGCTCTGCCTTGGTCACCCTTGAGGTAGTAGTAGGTCAATTTCTGTTGAGCAGCACTAGTCATTATTCCTTTTATAAGCATCATTAGCTCGGTGAGTTGAGTAATATCGCAACCATATTCAGCAATAAATCTGTCAAAGAGGTTACGTTGAGTTATCCCCTCTGGAAGAGCCGCCATTCTGTAGAGGTTGAGAAGGTTTCCATCCAAGTCGTTGTTTTCGTAGTACTTGACGTATTCTTCAGCGAGCTTCACTTGGTCTATTCTTCGGRTTTTAGTACCCATTGCCTTGCGAATATCCGATAGTTTCTTTGCACCATTTTTTGACTTGTACTCCCATTTTATCCAGGCAGATAAGAAAGTATTAAATGCACTGTTTGCCTTGATGGACGCCTCCATTTCGTCAAGTTTCTGRTCAAGTCGATCAAGCTTCGCATTGACTTCGTTAAACCTTTTATTTATCAGCGAAGTGATGACCTCCAAATCACTTGGCATGAAGAAGGTGAAGATAAAGCTGGCAATAGCAGAGGCAGCCTGGATAGCCTTAAGTGCACGTCCAACCATCTTACCAACTTTGAGTAACTTCGTTTGTTTCTTGAGAAGTTCTGCACTCTTCAAGCTCTTTGAAGCCTTCGTTGCTTCTTTAAGGGCCTTTTGTTCGTCCTTTACGTGGGCTGCGAGTTGGCTAAGTACAAACTGAGTCGTATCAAGTGCTGTAGATACTTTAGCCTGCTCACCAGGRTCTARTTCAGCAGCTGTACAGYCARAATAGRACRGCAACAACAGGAGCCAAAGTAYACAYCTCATGCTGAAWAGCAAGCGATGATAWCACTRAAAAGACACMAAGTTCTTTGATATAAAATAAGTTTGCAGAATTTGAGGGTTTTGCGCTCTTGAAGTTCAAAACATGTATTGGTTCTTCAATGAGATTTTGAAGGTTATTCAGCGGTTTTGGTGCGCGTGTACATCGTTGGATCAAATCAATTATATTAGAGACATGTGAATAATTGTACAATGTGTTAAAAAAAGGTCTCTATCATTGCAAGCTCACCGTTCGTCTAGCTTCGATGCAAAGGCACGACTACCTTTCAAGATGGCAGCCGACATGTGAGCGAGTGAACATTAGCATATCCCTAGTCCCTACAATAGCTCTTTCTGTCCTTTGCATATTCGCAAGTTAAAAACGCACCCACCAATAAGGGTTCTGGTATGTTTGGCTGGTTTTTACTTAGGTCAATCAAAACTATAACTAGCCGATGACTAAAGGCCTCGTCCACACGTATGCGGAAATTTTTGTATCCGCAATTATTTTTTGCGGATACGAAAATGTTTGCGTCCACACACAGCGTATTCGAATCGTTTTCACCGTCCACACGTATCCGTTTTCATAAAATTTGAGGATACGGACACAAAAATTTGCGGACACGTGTGGACGCAACCCGTATCCGTAAACAAAACAAAAATTTCCGGATACGTGTTGACGGGGCCTAACGTAACGGCTCGGCAAATACCCACCGATATTCACTTCAGCGAATGGTTTCCCCTTTATCCACTATGATTATTTTTCGTCACGAAACTATGAAGGTAGTTACTCCAATCTTGAAAGAACATCCACTAGCTGGATTTGAATAAGGCCCCGTCCACACGTATCCGGGAATTTTTGTATCCGCAAATT